AAAAATGACGACCCAAATATGCCATTGACAATAAACCATTATAAGATACATCAGACTCTATTCCTTGAGGCGGAATGTGGAAAACATGAGCTAATTTCCAAGGAAATTAGTGATTTTCAGAAATAATTTAATAGCTGTATTTTCCTAGAAATAAGGAGGTGTTTCTGCACATCCCTATCAATGCGGGATGTGATGGTAAACATGTAGCATATGTATTCTTTTATAATGCCTTTTCCACGCATAACTCCGACCATTCAACCGGTCGTCCACAAAAAGAAAAAAAGAAAATAAAAAAACCATAAATTGAAACACAGACAAGAGAATATTCGCATTTATCGTCATGTGGTCCTGTCATTTGCGCACCTTTGATAATCAAACTCTACGTGTCTTGGATTCTAGCGTCAGTGGGGGTACGCGGTTGGCCACAATGAAGATGTTGTCGGGTTAGCGTTCTTCAAAAAGGGGGAGTTAATTGATATTGGCCATGGCAATAGGAGTAAATCGTGTTTTAATTCATTTTTTGTTTTTTTTTTAATCCATGGTGGCATTTAATGGCCACATGCCAGTTCCGTCTTCCACATGTGCAGCAGTTAGTGAGGAAATTAACAGGGTGATGAATGGAGTGCAACATCGTAAAGTTCGGCGAGTGATCGGGTGCAAGTCAAAATTCAGTGAGTGAGACGTGACGTTACCCAAAGTTCAGTGAGTGTTGAAATAATTAACTCCAAAAAATGGTGTAATGAATAGTATTGCATCAAATATGGTGCAACACTATTCACTTTGCACCATTTTACACTGAAATTGTGCAAAGTTTGGTGTTGCATTAGAACAACTGTTCTTTGCACCAAAAAATGGTGCAATGGTGTTAGCATTGGAATTGCCCTAACTCTTAAACAAAATTGGTTCGATTAGTCGGTTAGGACTTCTAGTCTAAATTAAATTTTTAAAAAAAATTGTCCAAATTTTAGGCCCAACTAGGTAACAAGAACTAAAATAACTAAATAACTTTATATTATAAGAATTATTGACTAACAAATAAAATCAGGTTACTAGAGACGGATTAACAGAAATCCTAAGAATTTTGTTGTCTTTTTGTACATTATGTAGCCTAACCGTCTGAATAGGAAAAAAAGACTAAGTATAATATAATGAGCTTGTGAAAATAAGTTTTCAATACTATTACTTACCAACAACATTATAATTTGGAGGGAATCGTGATATAGTTATGAGGTTAGAGTTTATTTTTTTATTTATATTTTTTCTTTAAAAAAAAGGTAAACATATAAGTGAGTTGGGTTGGTTCAACTAAACGGCGGTTTGAGGCTTCAAACCATGACCGAACAAAACCACCGTGATTTTATTTAAAAGAAAATTAAACCAAACCCATTATCTGTCTCAAACCGACCCAAATTGATTCGATTTAATTGGTTTGTTTGGTTTTTCGATTTTTTTGCCCAAACCTACTCCCCTGAGAAAATATTTTTCTTAAATATATGAAAAACTAGGTATATTTTCAATAGAAAAAATAGCAATCAAACCTTCAAAGTAGGATTTTGGGTGGAAAACTAATATTTTTTATGGGGGTAATTAGCCCAAAACGTCCCCACCTTTCATTTTTTGACATTTTTGTCCATATTTCCACCTTTCTTTGTAGGAAACGTCATTTTCACCATTTTTAATGTAAAATGACCAAAATACCCTCTCATTTAAATAAAAAAAAAATACCCTCTCATTTTTTTTTTGGAGAAAATGACGTTTTCCGCAATGAAACGTTTTTCTCGAATTTAAAACGTGAAAATATGAATGAAAATGCAAAAAAATTAAAACATAGGGACCTTTTCCGCAAGAAATGTCAAACGTAGGGATTTTTTTGTTATTAGGCTTTATTAAATTATTAAAAATAACCAAAAAAACTCTTTCTATCTCTCTCTCTCTCTCCTCTTTTTCTCCAAATAAGTCAGCCACCTTAGAAGCCAAAAAAAAAACTCCAGCAAACCATAACCAAAACTACTGGACCACTATACCATCGAAAAGCCCTCATTTTCCTCTATACAAACCACCCAACATTCAACCTTGAAACCTTCATGCCAATAAATTTGTTCGGAATTGCAAGCCAAAATACCCAACTCGTGAATGCAAATACTGGCGACATCACTTGTTTCGAAGAGATCCATGTCACTTCCAACATACCAATCGACTATACTCACTAGGGCGCCTCTCTTTGTGGTTCTAAAATATCAATAGATGGTTCAACGATATGGAGGGTCGACGGTTTGGACGATGGTTGATCGGAGTTTTTTCACTTCTAACGTAGCAATCCCATTTGGAAAAGAAGATATGTGTGTGTGTGTGTGTGAGAGAGAGAGAGAGAGAGAGAGAGGTTTTTTTGGTTATTTTTAACATTTTAATAAGGTCTAACAGCCAAAAAAATCCTTACATTTGACACTTCTTGCGGAAAACGTCCTTATATTTCAATTTTTTTAAGTTTTCATCCATATTTCCACATTTCATTGCGAAAAACGTCATTTTCATCAATTTGAAATGTGGAGACTTTTTCACACTATGGCCAAACGTATGGACTTTTTGTGCTATTAGACATTTTAATATTTATTTGGACTCACTTGTACTTTTTAAAACATTTAAGAGTAAGATTGTAATTATTCTTTATTTTTCTTTTTTTTTTTAATTTTATTTAAGTGGGAGTTTATTTTGGTCATTTTACATTAAAATGGTGAAAATGACGTTTTCCGCAGAGAAATGTGAAAATAAGGGAAAAAATATCAAAAAATGAAAGGTGGGGACGAACGTTTTCCACTATAAACCATAAAAATATGGACGTTTTGTGCTAATTACCTTTTCTATGGAATATAAATGCAATCAAACACATTCTTAGATTAATATGATTTCTTGAGTGCCCTTTAACTTAAATCTGTTCTACAATTTCACGTTGGTTTTTCTTTGCTATGAACTTTAAAGCTTGTTCAAGCCTCATTTTGTGTAACAGAAAAAAGAATTTTGTAATGGTGATTTTTGTTAAAAATGTATAAATAAAATTTTTTAAATTTATGTGCACATTATTTTTCAATCACAATATTTTATCAAGTTTTATTAAAATTCACTAAAAATATGATTTTTAACAAAATTGATAGGAGCTTAATACTTTTGTAACACAAATATGTTTCTAGCATGTTGTTGTGGTGAGCAATGTTGTAAAAATTAGATCATACTTGTCAGTTCAACCGAAAAATCGAGAACCAAATTAAAATTCAGTCGATCACAGTGATAAAATCGGTCAATTAAAAATTGGTAACCGGTTAGTTTTAACCGAAAACCATGAACTGAACAGTTTTTGTGAATTTGTCGATTTTTTTAATTATTTTTTTGGGAAAAAATTAATAGTAAGATGATGAAAACAATCACTACTCTTTTTTCAATCGATCAAAACTACAATAGCTCCATGAAATAAAAAATCTAACTACGAAGAAAGAAAAGAGTTCCCTTTTATTTGTGCTCATACTTTGGATGATGCATTTGTGTACATGAGTATGAATATATTGTATATGTGACGGTAAGAATTTTAACAGCTACCAAAGCTTTGATATCGAACAATGAAAAATGTGTTCGAATAATAGGATTTGTATCATAGGCCATGTATCTATTACAGGATATGGCAGGTATTCGGCCTTTTGGCCCATTTAATTTAAAATTTATTCTCATTTAGTGAGAATTTATTTAATTATTTATTTATTTTGTAAATTTATTTATTTTGAAATTTTTAATAATCATCGAGTGAACCCCAATTAGACCGTGGTTCGTTCCTTTGACCTTTGAACCTCTCCTTTTTTTGGGGTTGATGTTTGGATCGATTTTTAAGACATTGATGGCGAGTCTAATTTCACTGCTGTAGGTGAGGACGACTAATGCCAATTTTACGGAGGTTGTGAACAACATTTTGGTGCACTCATGAACCTCAACTTCTATTTAACAAAATTTTAAATTACATAGGAAACCAATAATTAATTAAGGGTCTTTTTTTTTTTTTTTTTTTGGGTTAATGGTATTGTTAACTTCTTGAGAATTAAATCATTCAAGAATTCAGAATTATATATGCGGTTGTACAATTAGCAAAATTCTTTTAAAAGAGACAAAGAATCGTGTCAATTGTCACACCCCACAAGTGCATTAGTGGCCAACTTACATGACCTTAGGCCTCTATTTGGTGTTGGTTAGAATTGGATTTTCTATAAAAGTTGATGAAATATGTAAATTTCATAAAGTATATGATTAAAATTAATTTTTAACTATTACTTGAAAATAGAATCATTCTCCACTGAACAGAGGCTAGACGTGAAACATACTTTAGAATCTTTGTATGTCAATCAGTGAAGCGCCTCCCTCTTCCCCAAAGAAATAGTAAGCAGCTGTCAAACTTGACCATTAGCTCACCAAAGGAATTGATTTGAAACTAGTTAACTGGAAATTTTGCCCAAACAATAATTTGTCAATTTTGATGTGATATATAGAATTTGTTTGAGCCAATTTGTTGGGAAAATAAATTTTATTATAGTGATTTTTAAAAAATGTGTGATTGAAAAATATGAAAAATTCTAAATTTACGTGTAAAATTATTTTATATGACAAACGTATTGTTGAAAAATGGGGCTCAAATAGTGACATAATCAGCCCCTCTTATCATCATCAAACGATGGATGAATTCCCATTCCCCCCTTTATGTTGAGCTGTGCGCCACCAGAAGCTCAAGCCTGAACCTTTTCCAATGAGCCAACAGCTGATGGCGGCTACAAAATTGCAAAACCTTGCGTTATTGATCCATCTGCTGTTCACATGAATTGATGATATCACATCAAGCTCAAGCCTGAACCTTTCCAATGAGCTAAAAGCTGATGGCTGCTACAAAATTGCGAAATCTTGCAGTATTGATCCATCTGCCGTTCACATGAATTGATGATATCGCAAAAGAACCCACAAATTTGAAGGTGTGTAAAGTTGAAGGCTGCGTAAAGAATTTATTCGAAAAAGGTCGCAACTCGTGTACAATTTTCTTTCTACTGTTAAAAAATTTATCACTAATATTAAGTTAGAATGTGCCAAAAAAAAAAAAATGTGATCGGTATATCAACACACCCTCTTCTCTTGCTGCTGCTGGCAAAATCTCTTCTCGGCAGGTGACATGGCCAACACGTCCAAGACGAAGCTGGTGTAAGCTTAGAACTCCAACAACTAGCCGATAAATTAAGCAGAAGATATTCGAGGATCCACATGGATAAGCGGGAAAAACTATACCCTCTGAGTTACTCTCATCGTAGTTATTGAATGAAGTGCGCTAACTGAATCACCATAACGCTAATATCATCTGCAGATCCTCTTGATAATGACAAATCAACGAGCTTTTTGCAGGCGGAAAATGGTTCTGGTTTGTCAATGCCTACGCATAAAGGACGGACAACATCTACTGCTTCCTGGTTGCTGACCTGCAAAGGGAGTATGAGAGCATTTTTAGAATTTTATCACTTCCATTGAAAAAAGTTTCACCAATGAAATCAACTAAACAGTTTTCATCGATTTACTTTACCTTATCCCAGAGTCCATCAGAAGCAAGGATTAGAAATTCGTATTCTGGTATGATCTTTACGACTTTAGTCACCGGTTCGGCTGTCACCCATTGTTTAAGATGGCGATCTCCAATTGCTCTCGATACAGCAAGAGATCCATGTACTCTCCAAACACCATGGCAATAATCCACATAGCCACCCTAGATAAAGCAATTTCAAAAAACCAATCAGAAACAATACCGGTCACAGTGATCAAATAGACAAGAAAGACCGATCCTTACCAGGCTCTCAATCCTCTCTCTTTCATCTTCTCTACAAGGCCTATGATCAATTGTGAGGGCTTGGGCTTCTCCTACTCGGCTCATAACAGCACGACAATCCCCAGCATTTGAGACGACTAGATTCCCTCGGTGTATCAATGCTGTAACACAACAAGTCCCACCACGCAAATCTTCCTTGAGAAACTCCATGTCCGTGGTTAGGTATCCCTTCTTCACTGCCTTCTCAATTCCTTCCTCTTCACTTGTCCTCCTTTCCACTTCCTTCATAATGTTCCTATCCAAATTCTTTGCTGCATATTCTGCAGCTCCTGCACCTCCATGTCCATCAAATACACCAAAGAAAGCCTGAAAATCGAAACCCCCAATTTAGATTCTATTCTTGATAGTCCAATTCAGGTTCTTTTCTTTTCTAGGTTTTATTTAATTTTAACGGCCTTTTGAGTGCAAAGAGAACACAGAGTGTAAACCCTTTTTTTTTTTTTCTCAATAGTTTTCTTTTACCAGTTCTTTATTTATATAAGCAAATAAAAATTGCCCCAAAAAATTATAAATAAGTAGATGGATTGTTCATAAAAACTGACCTGTTTATAATCCCCTTGAAGACCCATAACAGCAGAGTACCGATCCTCCATAGCACCACCCCTTTTACCTCTCTTACAATACAAAGAATACCCTTCTCCTTCCACCTCCACTTCACTCAACCTATCCAAATCCATATCCGGCATCGTATCAAATCCCATATCCATCACCGGAATATTAATCCTCGCCGGTCGTTTCCTCTTTAAAGCGGCTAGCTTTGATGTCGCTTCTTCTTCTTCTATTAAATTTTCATCCTTGCTGTTGAACGGTTTCCTGAAGTGTTTAAGGGTTAACGGCGACGGAGATAGACACGGCGGCGGCGGCGAGCTTGCAGGCTTGCAGAAAATCGGTGAGATTTTTCGCGGGGACGGGGAGAATATTGGGGAGCTTGATACTGCAGCTATGGCGCAAGGCATGGTTAATCTTTTTCAGTTTTTTTCTTCTTCTTCTTGTTTCCGTTAGCTGGTTTTCCTCTTTTTATCTGTGCAACGAAAGAACTTTCTGTGTGTGTAAAGAAAACTTTTGCTTTATATTGTAGTGGGGGGGGATGGAAATAGACGCATACACCGTCGTTTAACAAGACGAGACAATTTCTTGGTTTTCACGCTCCCAGATTTGACCGTTACACTTCATGTGTGGAAGAAATTGTCAAAAATTTTATTTGTTGAAAATATTTTTTAATAATCTAGATAAATGATACGATGACAAAAATTGTACAAATTTGTGACTTGTAAAGAACAAGAAATATCAAATAACTTATATATTCACTGAGTCGATATATGGATGAAGTTAATTTTAAAATGGATACAATTTTCAATTTTTTTATAAATTATCGATTTAATTAACTTGTCATGGCCCCATTTATGACTGATTTTTCATTCTAAAAATTTGATTTTTTGACAGTTATTTCACGATTTTAATAATAAATTTTGATTTTTTCTTCATAGGTGGTCCTCACTTTTTTCCTAACGGTCAAAAAATCAATTCTTAAAATCACTCCCAAACGGGACCCATATATAGCATTGGTTTGGTTTTGATAAAACATAGATTTTTAATATATTTTGACAAAAATTGATAAAATATATGATTGAAAAATTAATAAAAATTTTGAACCCATGAAATATGTAATTGAAAAATAAATTTTAAGAAATAAAGGCCAAAATATGACATAATTAAAAAAAAGGTGACTTTATCAATTTAAAACATCATTTTAATTATTTTTGTATCTATATTATTTATAAAAAAAAATGGATAAAAGAAAGCAGTTGCACATCACGCAGTTGAGCTGCGAGTAAGGAAGTAAGTCGCGTAAGATATTTCCCCCAATGGCACGGTCTTTCTAAGACTGAATCGTGTCAACGGTCAACACACGGGAAATCCACGTGTTCTCTCTCTCAACATTTAATTTTGGGTTGGCGAATGAGACTAGGCAACGGGCAACCTCACTGACTGGCTCTTAGTTGTAAGAATGAGTCTCTTATTTGGGTTGGCTTTTCTCCATTGGATCTTTCTGCCGTCCAAATGGGATCTTTGCATCCCACCTTATGTTTTTGGAATCTCATAAACCCAGATTTATTAAATTGTTCAAAGGAGTCCTTAAATTTCAGTGAATTTTGATTGTATTATGTGTACATAATGACTGGTTTACAGATACATAATATAATATAATTGAGTCAGAATTTCTTCTAGCAAATAAAAAAATTCTTCAATATGTCTTTTTGACACCTCATCTGAATTAAATCATCATGTAATTCTATTATATATAAATAGTATTATTCTTCGAATTTTATTGTTATGCTTTGTTTGGTGGAGATTAAATTTAAATTTTTAGTAGATTTTAATAAAAATATATCAAATGTGTTATTGAAATGTCGTGTATCTTTTGAAATATATTATTAAAATTAATTGTTAACTTTAACTTAAATTAAAATTTAGATTTCAATTCAAACTAAATAGGACCTATATTCATTCGTCACTATTGTCCCTGATACTACGTTTGTACCTTGATCCTATCAAATAGTCATTATTTTTATTTTTTTTTAGAGAATATACAGTTAAAAAGTAGAAAAAATTTAGATTTATGTATAAGATATTTTATTATATGAATGTGTGATTAAAAATAAGTATGAGAATTAACCCATGTTTGGACTCGGTTAAATTTAGTGTTTTCAAAGAAAAAATATATTTTGGAATAGTGATTTTTTAAAGATGTGTGGTTAAAAGAGAATGAGAAATTTTGGATTTACATATAATACTACTTTATTGAAAATGTGTGGTTGAAAAGAATAACAAGAAACGTGCATTACAACTAAAATGGAGTCCAAACAAAGGTTTTAAGAGTCCTATATTAAAGAGAGACAAACGGTGCTTAATTGATCTATTACATAATCGCTACGTGATATCTAGAAATAGAAATTATAAAATGAGAGGTTACAATATCTTTATATTAGAATGCGTCTTTTTAAATTTTAACAGTTATATGATGTAATGTAGTGGTGAATTGACATACACAAATCCTACGTGAAAAATGCATTGGGCCATAACTATCGATTGGGCGATTTTTATAAAATTGAGCGGTAGTAGGTGAAGGAGTCGTGAATTTTGAAACCAAAATTGAAGTCCAGGGACTCAATTATAACTAAATTGAAGTTTTGTTATCTGATTAAGACAAAGTAAAGTTTTCAATAATTTCGCAAAAAGTTCAATGATTGCAGAATAAATTTACCCTATAACTAGCGAAGCTTTAAAATTAATTTTTGAGGCAAAATAGAAGGCACAAGTATTGTGATTGGTGCACTATGATTTTAATTCATGATTGACATTTTACTTGACGAATAAATAATATTTGTTCGTGATATTTAAATTAATTTGCGTGTTTTTTGTTGATCCCAAAAAATGCGTCAACAGATGTCGGTCTCACCCGCGCTTGCGTGGGCGAATGTCCAACATATTAGGACACGTGGGCGGTCTAAATCGAGCGGTTCAAAGGGGCGTGGGAGTAGCCCAACGACGCGGGACGGTGACGTTCGGAATCCGACGAGTTGTTCGTAATCCGATTGTACACTAATTACCAATCGGTGCTCGTAAATGTATATGTAAAAGTGTTGAAACTTGATTTGTGTATTGCAAGTAAAATGAGAGAGAGTTGAGTAAAAGTAGTCTTTAGTATTGATTCTTGCATTAGCATTTGACATTACACAATGGAAGTATTTATAGTGATACATATGAAATGGGAACCCTTGGATGAAGTGGCACGTGGCCTCATCTCTTTAGTTCAAACGTCTTTTCTTAGGTATGGGGCTTGACTTGCTAGCTTACGGCGCATTTATTGCTTGCGCAGGCCCTCCATGCTAGTGACAAGACTTGACCTTTATGCTTGTGACAAAGGTTCCATCAATCATTCGAATAAGATCTCTGAGCAGGCGATCTTTTGGGAGAAGTGACTGTGGAGGAAGCTCCTTGTGGTTAAGAGGCTCGCGCATCAGCTTCGGGGCTTCGACCATATGACAAAAACTTCCACTTGAGGACCTCAACTAAATTCAATAGGTTCCATGCGTCGGGTCATGGGGCTCGGTAGTTAAACTTCGGCAGAGTACATCGGGTCGAGGAGTTTCGACGGATGGACCTCGACTAGAAGCACTTTGGATAAACCCGCCTTGGCAATGTGTGCCACTTCGGCAAGAATGCCACGTGGATTAGGATGAGTGGGCCCCAGGTAGGTAGGACAGGTGTGACAACACGCAACATTTTTAATGATTGAACAAATTTCGAATGTATCTATTTTAAGAAAGTAATACAATATAAGTATTAAAAATTTATTAACACCTTAATTTAAATCAATCAATTTTAAATAATTCTGAAAGAAGATTGAAGATTGGAAGGAAAAAACCCAAGTTTTATATAAGTTTATAATTATAATTGAATAAAGAAAGACAATCCTACCCTCGTTTTAATTAAATAAAAGAAAGAAAGAATTAAAAAAGAATAAAATTCATGCTGGTCTTACTCATAGGTTGCTTCACGATGTGAATTTGAATAAAAGTTTTATAGATCCCATGAATTTTTATGGTTAAAATGTAGAGAAAAGCAATGGGTTGAATGAAATATATGTTGGAAAATGGTTAGTGAAATGGGTCAATTTTGAACCCAAATTTCAGTGGGACCCACACTTTCATTAATTCAAGACATAGCGCATTCGCGTTTTACTCTGCGAGATGATTAACATGATATATTTATCTGTCGAAAAACATTTAGAATTGAATGAAATATTGAATGTCAAAGTAACACATTCGAAATTATAAATCATGGAAGAATTTGATTTGCCAAGCACTTATCCCACATGGGAAAGTTAGGAAATTTTGGTGTGGTTTATATGGTGGGACTTGTTTGTGTTCGGGTGGAAACTTCCGGTACTAGACTCCCGAATATGACCAGGAAAAAATCAGAGAAATTTAATGAGTCAGATTTCAAGCACTGGCAACAGAAAATGCTTTTTTATCTTACAACATTAAGTTTGGCAAAATTTCTCAAAGACGACAGTGATGTTGAAAAATTGGTTGTGGTTAATGTATGGAAGCATTCTGATTTTCTGTGCAAAAATTATGTACTCAATGGATTGGATAGCACATTATATAATGTGTATTGTAATGTGAAGTCTACAAAAGAACTATGGGGATCTTTGGACACCAAATACAAAATCGAAGATGCCGGCACGAAGAAATTCATTGTCGGTCTTTTTTGGATTATAAAATGGTTGACACGAAGACTGTTATATCCTAAATTCAAGAACTTCAAATCATACTCAACGACATCCATGCCGAAGGAATGAAACTAAGTAAATCATTTCAAGTTGCAGCACTGATTGAGAAATTATCGCCTTTCTGGAAGGATTTCAAAAATTATCTAAAGCATAAGCTGAAAGAAATGAAACTTGAAGATATTATTGTCCAGTTGAGAATTGAAGAAGACAATCACAAATCTGAAAAGAAGAGTGATGCATCTCATTTTATGGAATCGAAAGCCAACATTGTGGAAGGAGGTTTAAAGACAAGCAAAAAGAGGAAGTATAATGGAAAAGGACAAACTAGTTCTTCAAAAACTGCTAAAAAGTTCAATGGTAACTGTTACAATTGTGGCAAGGCAAGACATCGATCCAAGGACTGTCAAAAGTCAAAGAATGTCAAGGAAAAAACTCATCAGGCCAATATAATAGAACATGACAACCTCTCCGATAAGGTACAAGATATAAATCATTTTACTGTCATCTCTGAATGCAATTTAGTTGGAAACACTAAGGAATGGTGGGTGGATACTGGAGCTACTTGTTATATATACTCAAATCGCGGGATGTTCTCTACCTACAAAGCGATGGATCATGATTAACACCACTACATGGGAAACTTTTCATCTTCCAAGGTAGAAGGACATGGAAAGATAGTGCAAAAAATGACAAGTGGAAAGGAGCTCATTTTGAATTACGTTCTTCATGTGCCAGATATTC